ACTTCATAACTAAAATCTGTACCGTAACATACCCAAACTAAAGGGCAGGTTTGAAAAATATCTCACCTCCTTCAAGTAAATCCTAGTTGACCAACTGTTAATTACATTTACTTAATTAATTTTAATTAATTTATTAGAACAAAACTAAAGTCACCTAGGCTGGGATCACCTGTCAACAATCACACAGCTCTACTTCCAATAACAACTTGCATTTCACCCTCAAAGAAGTCTGAAATCTGCTTTTCTTGGGGAGATGGATCTCCTCCCAGTGGATCTTGGCTTTCTGATATGCATTGTCACTGATGTCAAAATGAGGAAATATGAACAGCTTTAATGTCCCATCCCCCTATTTCTACCTCACAACCCCTCTCAGTTTGATAACTAGGATTTTGTGGGTTTTAAAGTCATGTGGGACAGTGTCTAAGGATGCTAAAAATAATTCTCTTTACAATTGGCTAAAGATACAGATCTGTTGAGGCCACATACTCTGAAAAAAATCCAGAAATCACTGTCCCCATTCTTCCTGCTCCAGGTTAGTTTGACCACTTCTCTCAATTCCACTTACCAAGAAGCAGCAGCAGCTCTGGCTGCTGGAAGCCCAGGAAGATGGTCACAACTTTCTTCTTCACCCATTTTCTTTTTGTCTGCCCATTCCCCATGGCACTCTGAAGAGACCTTTGCTTTCCCCATCTGGAACTTGGTGAAACTCTGCCAGTCTGTCAGCACAGACCCCTACATGCACTGGCCACCAGTAGAAAGCAGTGCAGGATTTACAATTGGTGTTTCAAATTATCTTACATGACAATAAGGCTGAGTGCCTATGGGCAAGAATCAAGGAAAAGCCAGTAAGGCTGATATTTTCAACAATCTGACAGCTTGTCCTCAGGACAAGTGGCCTCCTGAGCTGGTAGATGGGGAAAGGGAGTAAAACAGCCCCGTTATTCAGGAGAAAGCAGCTGGTGACCTGATGAGCCTCTCAGATGCTCACAAGTCTATGGGACCAGATGGAATCCATCCTTGCATACCGAGGGAGCTGGCAGAAGAGCTCACCAAGCTGCTGTCCATCATTTACCATCAGTCCTGGCTTACCAGGGAGGTATCTGATAGCTGAAGGTTGGCCAGTGTGACACCCATCTGTAAGAAGGGCTGGAAGGAGGATCCAGAGAGCTCCAGGCCTGTCAGCCTGACCTCGGTGCCTGGCAAGGTTATGGAACAGATCATCTTGAGTGTCATCACTGGCACCTACTGCATGGATTTAGGGGGGGCAGGTCCTGCCTGACCAGCCTGATCTCCTTTTATGACCAGGTGACCTGCCTGGTGGATCCAGGGAAGGCTGTGGATTTTGTCAACCTGGACTTCAGCAAAGCCTTTGACACCACCTAGAGGTGCCTGGACAGGCTGGAACCATGGGCCAAACCCAACAACAGGACATTTACCATGACCAGGTGCTGAGTCCTGCACTTTGGCCACAACAACCCCCTGCAGCACTACAGGCTGGGGGCAGAGCAGCTGGGGAGAGACCAGGCAGAAAGGGACCTGGGGCTACTGACTGATGGCAGACTGAACATGAGCCAGCAATGTGCCCAGGTGGCCAAGAAGGCAAACAGCATCCTGCCTTGGATCAGGAACAGTGGTCAGCAGAAGCAGGGCAGTGCTTCTTCCCTTGTACTTAGCACTGGTGAGGCTGCACCACAAGCCTTGTGTCCAGTTCTGGGCCCTTCAATTTAGGAAGGATGTTGAGGTGCTGGGGCACATCCAGAGAAAGGCAACAAGGAGCACAGATCCTATGAGGAGTGGCTGAGGGAGCTGGGGGTGTTTAGGCTGGAGAGGAGGAGGCTCAGAGACCATATCACTCTCTACAACTCCCTGACGGGAGGGTGCAGCCAGGTGGGGGCTCAGCCTTTTCTTCCAGGGAACAAGTGACAGGAGAAGAGGACACGTTTTTAGTTGCACCAGGGTAGGTTTAGGCTGGGCATTAGGAAGAATTTCTTCACAGAAGGAGTGACTGGGCATTGAAATGGGCTATCCAGGGAATTGGTGGAATCACCATCCCTGGAGGTGTTTACGGAAAGCCTGGATGTGGCACTCAGTACCATGGTCTGGCTGACCATGTGGTGTTAGGTCATGGGTTGGACTTGATGATCTCAAAGGTCTTTTCCATCCTATCTGATCCTGTGATTCTGTGATATTCTATGAGCCCAAAGGATACAAACAGATGTTACTTTGATTGCTCAGGTGTGCAAATGACTGGAACAGTGAATACCAGCAAGGACTGATGCCAGTGCATAAGCAGCCAGATTGGAGCTTTGTACCCAGAGAGTTGGAAAGCTTTCTGTTTCTATGTTGCCACCTCACCAGGTTTACATTTTCTTAGATACAAAAAAAATGTTCATGCCTAGAAGCCAAATTCCATTTATTTTGCTTTTCCAAACCTGCTTGAAGCCATGAATTCATAAGCAACATAAGGGGAAGGAAAAAAAAAGAAAAGGAATGTGGTTTGTATGATTATCTTTCAATTTCCATGCCAAATGTTGAAGTTCTCATGTGCAGACAATCTTCAGCTAATTAATTTCTGAATTTCATGCAAATATTCCTTTGTTACCAATACTTGATCCTCCTTTTCCAGGTAGCATACACACAACAACCAACAATTTCTGAAAGTCCCACAGTTGTTCTGCTGGCACAAATATCTCACTTACTTGTTGCCATGTTAATCTCAGACGTTCAAATTGCTCCTTCCCATCTTCTGAGCAATCAGAGCAAGTAAATCTGAAGAAGTTATCTCCTTTGAGGTAGCTGAGCTGTTCTCTCAGTTGACCTAAAATGAAAAGGTAAAAATCAATCTTTTTGTCCTTTTATAGGAAAAAGTGCTGCAAATAAAATTTGGATTTCTTCCAAGATCAAGTTTATCTGAACAAAAATGACAGAACCACCTGGAAACCCCCATGCACCCAAAGTTACAGGCTCTAATTCTGTGTTTCTACAGCAGAGGAAGAAAGATCATATGAATCAGGGCTTCTAAACTCACCAGGAGTTAATTTACACAAACATGAACAACTGAAAAATTACACTGGAGGACAGGGAAACTGTTAAGACTAGCGTGTTTCTGGAAAGTCACACTCAGAAGGTATTTTGCTACTAGCATGTCATCTCTTTTACTGTATAACGACACCAGATCAAGCATTTTTAACATAGGGATACCCTGCTTCCATACTGAATTGCAGAATTCAAGTTGCAGCAGTGTCTGATGAAGGGAAAAAAATCCCACCATTAGTAGATCAAGAGGATTTCTAAATGCCAATTCAAGTAAAAAAGTAATTTGCCTGAGCACGGTGGCCATTTTCACAAGTGACAACGGAACTCCCTAGAAGTGAATGATTAGGGAAAAGCAAAATATCTCCCTTTGACAGCTCGTTTACTCTGCACATTTGTATGTGGCTACTGTTGCTTTGCAACTGGCCTTTTCTGCTCTTTGCATTGTTCCAGCAACTGTGGAGAGGAACATATCTGTAAAATAAAACAAGTTGAGTGTAAAACCAAGTGCTCCAGCATGAGATAGCTCATGCTACCTTTAACTCTGCTTCATTTTTTTATTAATATATTTCAAGTTAATATTTCCCTTTACTCTGTAGCAATTTAATAGTCTGGTGCTGGTTTCATTATATTAACAACTAAACATTCACTAAGACACCTTGAGAGGAGATTTTTATACTGTAAATTTAGGCAAATTCTAAGAAGGCAAAAAGGGCAGCTCTGACATATCTGCAAGGCAGGTGCCACCTAAACAGTTCATAATTTCTAACCACAAACCAACAAACAAAAAAACATAAAACCCCCAAATCAAACCAAACAAAAAACCCACCACAAAAACCAAAGCCAACCAGAGTTTAGCAATACCTGGCTTTTGAATATAGTAACAGATCAGATAATCCAGAGTTTAGAAAGTAAAGCTGTCTATTACACTGCTAACAGCGTATATCTTATGGAGAGGCATCAAATTCTGCAGCTTGCTCCAAACACGCCCCAGAGCTGGCTGCTGAAGGCTGGGCACGTTTCTAAGCCAACTTAAATTCACATTATTGGGAAAACATAAAGGTTGAGATTTAGCCATATGCTCCACAGATGTGACAAATCAACAGGGAGGGGAAAAAAATAACACACAAAGTCCTTTTCCTCCCCAGAGCTTTACAGCAAGTGTCATTATCTGAGTGAGCAGAGAGGTCAGGGCGCTTGGTTCAAGCCCCTAAACAGCTGCAAGAATTGTGAGGGTGGGCACGTTTCTGAACTTTAATGTTCTCTATCAATTGAAGAAGACAGTTTGATTTTATTAGAGAGAGCACCAGCTCTGGACACACGGAGCTCCTGGGCTGAAGTGCCTAACACAGCCCCTGCCAGCAGGCATCACCCACCAAGACAGGACAGGGTACAGCCCAACAAGCTGTGAAACAGGAACACAGGACAGCACAAACACCTTGCAAACACCCACCACGGCCAGGCACAACACAACTGGCAGCCTTACTTGCTGGGATCCACTTCTGACACTTCTCACAGTAATAGGACATCTCCTCCATCCAGGACGCTTCACCCTCATCGCTGTTCAGGGAGTCCCCGCTCTGGTCGTGCGATAAATCCACAGAAGCCTGGTCCTCAGACTCCACAATCAGGAGAGTCTCCCCTTCCACCTCGCCCTCCTCCAGGCCCTCAGAGGTGGAGGTCCTGGTGGCTTCATCGTCGTGGCGGCTGAGCAGCCCACTCATGTGCACGTTGTTGGCCATCTTAGAGGGATGCTGCACAACAGTGAGCTGTTACCTCCCCACCTTCAGTCCATCCACACGGGATGTGCCGCAGCCAAGTCTCCACAGTCCAAGTACCAATCACAGAGGAAATGGGTTTTTGTCTGCCCTAAAGCCTAAAGAGGCTGGATTAAACTTATACAAAATAACCAGTCTTTCACAGATTACCTGTGTTTATTAAAACACCTGCAAGAAGTGAGATGCAAATGACCTTCAAACGTCTTTAATCAAACCTCTAAGGAGCCAGGCCAGCGCCTAGGACTGCTGCGAACGTTTTTCCATTAGCGCCTTGTCTCTCTCTTCCATGAGCTGCTTTGTCAGAGCAATCTGCTCTTCTAACAGGCGAATGTTCTCCTTTTTCTGATTCTGACGCTCAAGATCTCTGACAACGCCACTCCGCAGTCTCTGAAAACACAAGGGACAGGGTTTATCACAGCCCGGGGGATGCTGATAGGGATCAACCCCGCCCAGGCTCCACCGCTCCTGCAAGGCTGTTCCCTCTGCTGCTGTTGCAGGGTCTTTGCCACAGCAACTTAACGTAGCTGGAATCTTGAGGAGCCAATATCCAGTATCAGTACACCAAAAAGTGTTTTATTTGCACTCACTTCAGATGGTTTGGTTCACTAAGTGACAAAGCTATTGAGCAAATAAATGCAAGGAGCCTGTAATTCCCATGCCATGCAGCATAGATGTGATCTAAAAATTCCAGTTATCTCTGACCTAAATCTTTACCAAATCAGAATAAGCAGCTCAAAACTTCTCTGCTTGGAGGCAATTGTGTGACAAATTGCAAACTGTTTTAAAACCGGCATGTGTCTTCATTTGCTTCTTTATGCTCATGTCTCAATCTTAAAAAAATACCCACAGACTGCTTATGCCAAACTCTTGAAAAAGCAAGGCACTAGCTTCAAAAACATCCCCTTTATCTAAAAGGTTCGTTATAAATCATGTAAATATATAACGTATATATATAAATCAATACATAATGTGCAACACAACACCAGCAGCTTGTGCAACCCCTCAATGGGTGTAAAAAGCCCAAAGAAAATCCCAGCTGCTCTTTGCTTCCTCCACATGCTTCTCTCTGTTTTATCTAGCCATTTTTACTCACATTGATACTTAGATAATTAGCCATTTTTACTCACATTGATACTTAGATAATTAGGTGAAAGATGAATTAATTTATTTAACCCTCTTGAATGATGCCAAAATGCACCTGCAAATAATTTATTTGAAAGCTGACCCTGAAGTCACTTGAGAGGATGTTTGTGACTATTATTCAACCAGTTATCACAGGGTTTTGGCTACAAATCCGTACTTTGAACACAAAGTTCATAAACTTACTATTATGTTACTATTAGTTAATAACAATAAAGATGTGGGGAGATACAAGGTAACTGATCAATTGCACCAAGAATGTAATCCTCTTTCCTACACAAAACACTGCAATCTTTCAGATGGTGGATGCATTTGAAAACTTTGAAAACGCACACTTTGCACAAGACACCTTTATAATATGAGTGTCACGAGTGACAAAAACCTATGAAAAAGTTAATCTTCTCATCTTCCTCTATTCTTGGAAGTTAGCCCTACTAGTCTTCTGCAGGAATGAAAAGCATGTGCAAGCTCAAATCACTCTGGGCCTGGTACATCAATTTATAAAAGTCAAAAGTTTATTAATCTGCATAAACTTGAAATACTCTCTGCACCAGGACTGTAAAATATGCATGTTACTTATTTCCATTATGTTATCTAAATAACTGGATCTGTTGAACATGAAGCCACTGCTGCTTAACTTGACCACAAAGAATTATGGAAAGAAAATCTCAGATTTAATTTATAAAACATAAGCTTTGAGCCTTGGCCCTTCTGAATAGGTATTAGCCAAGGATTTTGGTAAAAAAGATCCACAAAGCTTAGGTGTCTCACTGTAACACCCAAGGGTGATGTTTATTCTGCAGCACACGTTCAAAGTTCAACTGCCATTAATTGCAGCTGAGGTTTAGTTTAGGAGCATTTAGCAGATATTCCTGCCAGATCCTCAGTGCTCAAGGCAGGTACATTGAATTAGAGAGCAGCCAACTACAAAAACATGGTATGATCTACCTAGATTGTGTTAGGTGATCTACACAGTGCATCCATCAGCTCTGGCAAGTGCAGAGCCATTGCTGGTTGCCACTCCAGGATCCCAACTTTCCTGTCCTTGCTAGTGCCAGTGCCATTCAGTGTTCTCCAACTCCTGCTCACACAAACCTGCCTCTTTCCTTACCCAGACCCATCTCATCCTCCAAATTCCATCACTCTCAAGCACTGACAGAGACAATCTCTTGAGGGGGAAAAAAATATAATCTTCTATTACAGAATGTATCATAAAGCCCAAGCAACAGCCAGCTGAGCTGGGCTATGGATTGAGAATTTGAACTCTGGTGTTCTGTAATTTCTGACTGCTTCAGTGTCATTTAACACAGGCTTTTTCTGTGTGCATTTCCTAGATTTTTTTGTATGTAAGTGGAGAAGGATCAGATGTGTGCCCTCATATAACCCTTACTTCATCAGCAGGATGCAAACCAGCACACTACCCACACACAGCACACCTTTACACAACCACACAGCTTTTAGTCCCAGGCAGGATTGCTCTGTGTTAGGACTCACCTAACATGGTCAGACCTGACACTTTTTGGCTGTGGACTCTCTGGCACACAGGCTGCCTGCCAGGAATTCCCTGATTTTTGTACATGCAGCACAGAGAACTGGCGTGTTTCTGACAGCTTGCACTGTGCCTGCCCTGGCAGAACAAGAAGGGAGCAGGAGCATAGCACAGTACAGTACAGCACAGCGCTGTCTGTCTTTCAGCAGGGTGCATTTGTGGGGCTGAAGAAAAACAGGGCACACAAGTGGGACAGCACAGCCAGACAGGGAAGAGCCCTGGGAACTCTGCCGGGGAGGTGGCCTTGGCCTAGAGGCTGCAGGATCACATGCTCCCTGCAAGCTGGCTGCCGGCAAGGGAGGGAAGCACCTCCACCGAGCCTCACCTAGAGATCCTCACTGCTATTTGCCCCTGAAGGGAAACGCACAGGACAGCATTAGGGAGCTGGTGCAGCTAAAAGAGCATGGAAAGCAGAGGTGCCAAGGCAGGAAAACGCGGGGAAGGGGTAGCTTGTGGAGAGAGCAACATCGGGAGCAGTGCAGCCGAGGCAGGACCAGTGGGGCAGCGCTGGCCTCTGGGAGCCGGGCTGTGCACCCGCAGCCCCAGTGCTGGCGCACCGGCTTAGGTGCAGGCAGGGACGGACAGACGGACATGTGGGCTCAGGTGCGGGTCCGCAGCGCGCACGGGGCGGGGCCTGGCGATGGGCGGGGCTCGGTGCTGGGCGGGGCTCCGCGCTGAGCCGGCAGGTGGGGGCGGGGCCAGACAGGCCGCCAGGTGAGGGG